CTTTTTGCCTCTACTTTTTACTTACTCCGTATTTGGCTTGTCTTTCTCTTGTCCTTTCACTCGCTTCTTTTATTCACGTTTTACTCTTTTTACTCCTCTTTTACTCCATTTTTTTTTTTTTTTTTTACGTCTCACTTTTATCACATTTTCATTTACTTTTTCATGTCTCCTTACCTCTACCTCTTTTCTTTTCTCTTCTTTTTTATTTTACGTATTTACGTATTGTCAGTTTTTTTTATGCCCTTCGGTCATATTTTCAAAAGTAATTCTTAAGCCATTCTGGCAGGTTTTACTGTTTCTGGGCCCTTCTGGCGTATTTTTAGTCATTCTTAAGCCCTTCTGGCACTTCCATTTACGTTTATTTTGGTGCCTTCTGCACCTTATGTTTGTTCCTTTTAGGATTTTTTTTTTTATTTCATGTTTCATCTTCATATTGGTCACGCTCCTGGTAGACCTACATCTCCGGGGACAGTTTTGCTTGCGAGGTCGTGTTGGTTCCGAGCCCTCAGCTTGGTCCCCTCAGCCCCTGTTCGGGGAACGAGCGGGCCCCTCATTTCCCCCCCTCAGCCCTCTTCGGGAAATTTCCCTTGGTCCCCTCAGCCCCTCTTCGGGGAACGAGCGGGCCCCTCATTTCCCTTGGTCCCTGGCCCTCTCGGGGAACGAGCGGGCCCCTCATTTCCCTTGGTCCCCCACCCTCTTCGGGGAACGAGCGGGCCCCTCATTTCCCTTGGTCCCCTCAGCCCCTGTTCGGGGAACGAGCGGGCCCCTCATTTCCTTGGTCCCCTCAGCCCCTCTTCGGGAACGAGCGGGCCCCTCACGAGCCCCGGGGAACGAGCGGGCCCTCATTTCCCTTGGTCCCCTCAGCCCCTGTTCGGGAACGAGCGGCCCCTCATTTCCCTTGGTCCCCTCAGCCCCTTCGGGGAACGAGCGGGCCCCTCATTTCCCTTGGTCCCCTCAGCCCCTCTTCGGGGAACGAGCGGGCCCCTCATTTCCCTTGGTCCCCTCAGCCCCTGTTCGGGGAACGAGCGGGCCCCTCATTTCCCTTGTCCCCTCAGCCCCTCTTCGGGAACGAGCGGGCCCCTCATTTCCCTTGGTCCCCTCAGCCCCTGTTCGGGAACGAGCGGCCCCTCATTTCCTTGGTCCCTATTCGGGAACGAGCGGGCCCTCATTTCCCTTGGTCCCCTCAGCCCCTTGGAACGAGCGGGCCCCTCATTTCCCTTGGCAGCCCTGTTCGGGGAACGAGCGGGCCCCTCATTTCCTTGGTCCCCTCAGCCCTGTTCGGGAACGAGGGCCCTCCCCTTGGTCCTCAGCCCCTTCGGAACGAGAGGGCCCTCATTTTGGTCCCCTCAGCCCCTGTTGGGGAACGAGCGGGCCCCTCATCCCCTGTTGGGGAACGAACAGCGGGCCCCTCATTTCCCTTGGTCCCTCAGCCCCTCTTCGGGGAACGAGCGGGCCCTCATTTCCTTGGTCCCCTCAGCCCTCCTCCTAGACGGGAACGAGGGCCCCTCATTTCCCTTGGTCCCCTCAGCCCCTGTTCGGGAACGAGCGGGCCCCCTCATTTCCCTTGGTCCCCTCAGCCCCTGTCGGGGAACGAGCGGGCCCCTCATTTCCCTTGTCCCCTCAGCCCCTGTTCGGGGACGAGCGGGCCCTCATTTCCCTTGGTCCCCTCAGCCCCTTCGGGGAACGAGCGGGCCCCTCATTCCCTTGGTCCCCTCAGCCCCTTCGGGGAACGAGCGGGCCCCTCATTTCCCTTGGTCCCCTCAGCCCCTCTTCGGGGAACGAGCGGGCCCCTCATTTCCCTTGGTCCCCTCAGCCCCTGTTCGGGGAACGAGCGGGCCCCTATTTCCCTTGGTCCCCTCAGCCCCTTCGGGGAACGAGCGGGCCCCTCATTTCCTTGGTCCCCTCAGCCCCTCTCGGGAACGAGCGGGCCCCTCATTTCCTTGGTCCCCCCCTCTTCGGGGAACGAGCGGCCCCTCATTTCCCTTGGTCACCCTCAGCCCCTCTTCGGAACGAGCGGCCCCTCATTTCCCTTGGTCCCCTCAGCCCCTGTTCGGGGAACGAGCGGGCCCCTCATTTCCCTTGGTCCCCTCAGCCCCTCTTCGGGGAACGAGCGGCCCCTCATCCCTCTTTCGGGAACGAGCGGGCCCCTCATTTCCCTTGGTCCCTCAGCCCCTGTTCGGGGAACGAGCGGGCCCCTCACTCAGCCCCTTTCGAACGAGCGGCCCCTCATTTCCCTCGGCCCCTGAGCCTGAAGTCTCCCGCCTCACGGGTGGCCCTAATTAGGTTCCTCTTTCACAAAAGCTTACATTATCATTTTCATTATGACTACTATCACTATGAACATCATCCTTTTCATTATTATTCTCACCATTACCATTACCATTTTTATCATGATGAATATTCTTTTGATTATTATCATGTTCACAATACCAATAATAAAGACATCATCAACAATAATATTAATGATAATAATAATAATACAGATAATTATAGCAATAAAATCAATATTTATATTACTGTTTCCATCACCACAGTATTAATAGTAATAATGATAAGAATTATCATAATTATGATCACTATTTCTATCCTCTTTATTACTCTACTATCATTATAAAGATAATGATAGTAATAGTGTACAATTATCATTATTGTAATTGTTATTACTATTATTAGTAGTATTTGCCTGCTTTTATCATTGTTATCATTATTATGTATATCATCTTTATCAGCATTATATTACCACCATCACTACTCTTATGCTGACCCCTTAAGCCTTCAGCCCCCTTGGGACAATAAAGCCCCACTTCACATTTCCTCCGCTGAATCACTCTTTTTATGTATTAAGCGAGTTAAACCAAATTGGGATATTTAATACTTCTTTTGGTTTTTGCCGAAGTCTTTCATGAAACCGTGTTTACAATATGCAACATAAAAGCGTGATTAGACTATTAATCCTAGTAATTGATGATTCTAAGTAATTTGGAAATGATCGCGACCCAGCGGGAGGCTAGTATTTTCAAGTCATGAAGCACCATGCCCAATCGTCTTCTTCTTCTTCTTTCTTTCTTTCTTTCGTTCTTTCTTTCTTTCTTTTTTCAAGGAACTCTTCGCTGGCATATTTGCTTTTTGTATTTTGTATAATGTCAATGAAAGCAAAGCATTCAGTTCTTGATCAGCATGACAGTATTCAATCAATTATATTTTCATTTACATCAGTTCATTGCACTAGGTTGCCAGTTCGCTGAAAACATGTCATACTTTCGTTTGCAACAATGAGAAATCTAAATCCCTATTCCCTTGGGAATGGGGAATCTAAACTCGAAATGTATTCCCCTTGGAATAAACTCTAATCCCTATTCCAACCCTAGCTTCCATCTGCCTGCTATTCATAACATATCATCTTGCCGTCACTGATAAATATCATACATAATTACGAACGAGTCTGCCGATGACAGCGCAGGTCCGAATTGAAGGAAAATGTCTATTGGCTTGATATATATATATATAATATATATATATATATATATATATATATATATATATATATATATATATACATATATCTTGCCCGTGATTACCGTTTCCTCGCGGTGATTACCATGACAGCAATGACTGCAGTATATCTTAATGGCAAGGAATTTTAATAGAGAGGGTTATAGCAGCTCAACATATATGCAAACATATTATACAAATATGTATATCAATAATCTAATAGTAGATGTGCTAATCTAACATCAAAATAATGACATCATCAACAACAATTGATACAAAAAAGACTTATAATTATCATAGTTTACTACTAACAACTATGATAATCGAAGATACTTATAATACTAAAAATAATAATGATAATAATAATAGCAATTACAATAACAATAACAACTATGGCAATAACCGTAAAGTACTCAGCAGGAGCATGACGGGGAAGGGAGAAGGCAGGGAGGCGGGGGATGAGGAGGGGAGAGAAGGGAGAGGCAAGGGAGATGGAGATAAAGGGAAGGCGGAGGACAATGCGAGGAAAAAGGGAAGGTGAGGCGAGGGTGGAGGAAGCGAGGGAGGAAGGGAGAGAAATGACATAGAGATCAACGTAAAATACGAATAAGGGCCAGAGCGACACCTGTGATACCTCAGAAAATGTGCCCCATTTGAAAAATAAGATAATAACATTAATTTTTCACGAAAACACAATAACAGCACAGCAGAGATAGTCGATATTCCCTTTAGATTGCTATCTTGAACTAAAGAACTATTGCACTACTGATAATGATAAGATGGTGATACTAGTGAGTATGGTGATGATAATAGTGACAGACAATAGCAGTAGTAGTAATATGATGGAATTTCAGTGAAACTACGGCCAAAAACTGTTATTAGAACTATTATGATAATAATCATAGTCATGCTAATGTTAATTATACATTTTTTGTTAGGATGTAATGGCACTAATAACTTATCATTTGACCAGAGACACTTTCCTGTTCTTCCATTACTGATAAATACAACATAAAATAATTTATTAAAAATCGCGGAGCTCCTCTACTATGACCCCCCCTTCTCTCCCTCCGTTCCCTCCCCTCTTCCCCCTCTCCTCTCTTCTTCTTTTTCTCTCAGCTTCTAAGCGCATTATCCCTCCCCCACGCCCTTCTCTCGTCGTCCTATCCCCATTTTCCTCGCCCTATCTTCCCTCCGTTCTCTCCCTATCGTAGCCGATTACTTTCAATAACCATAACACTAAAATAATTGCCATCGAAACTATCCATTAATTACAAGCAAATGAACCAGAAGCAAAAAATATTGCAATAATTAGATTATAAAAATCCTTATTTTAATAATAAAAACAGAAGATAAACAATGCCAGCAAATCCTGCAACCTTAAGCTAACATCTATATGCAATTCAAGAATGGTGCTTAGAAATATAACAGAAATAATAAATAAAAGAAAGGAAAAAAGAAAAGGAAACCAGGACCAACTGCGTCCGTCGTCTCTGAAATTGCCTTACCTTCGTTGGTCTTCGCTTCCAGGTCCGTCCCCTTGGTGGCCAGGAGTTCAGCCACTGCGAAGTGACCTTCTTGGGAGGCTAGGTGCAGGGGAATCCAATCTGAAAAGCGAGAAACTTGTGTTCATTTTCCTATGTCCAGAGGACAACATTGTGTAAAGAAAATGATGAGGAAAAACAGGTGATTGATATATGGAGAAATGCGGATAAGCAGACCATTAAAAGAAATTTTCTGTTGTTATTCTGAGTATCTCTAGTGGAATTAAGGCTAAGAACACAATTTCAGAGAATAGATAATAACAATTTAGGATTCCTTTGTGGTATATATATATATATATATATATATATATATATATATATATATATATATATTATATATATATATATATATATATATATATATATAACTAAATGATATGTTGATTACTAATGAGGAAAACATACATTCATACAAACATATTCTGTCTATCCATTTACATGCATTTTATATATGTATGTATGTATATTTATATGTTTATATATATATCTGTGTGGGGGGGAGTGTATGTGTGCGTACGTGTGTGTATTCATTAAAGTGATGAACGACGTTCCACTTAATCACGGACGATCAAGTGTTCTCGATCAACAAGGTTACTGCATGGCCTGACAAAGCAGTGATGCCATGACTGACACACCGCCGGAGCCCACACACACAAGGCAATGGCGGGACGGCTTGGCGGTGGACTTTTCATTTGAGTTACAATTGTAAACCACATTATTTTAAAGATAGCCCAGGTCTACATTCACGTCTAAAGATATAAACTACACTTGAAAACATCAAATCTCACGTATCCAATATTTCTCTCTCCTACTAATTTTATCGACAAAATTACAGGTTGAAGTGCTAACATGATAGTAAATGCATTACCACCCCTTTCCCTTGTTTTCCAAAAGTAATTGTTCACGTGACAGTCCAGCGCCGCGGCCGATCGATCGAACACTCCAGATGAGCCCCGTACCCACCCACACAAGCCATGCCTCAAGTGTCTGACCGCGTAGCAATCTCATTCACGGGATTCAAGCAGACCCGTAGGCTTTGAATCAGCCCCGAAGCTTCGTCTTTCATGCGATATCACACACAATTTAGTGATACAAAACTGTAAAAAAAAAAAAAAAAAAAAAAAAAAAATCTATTCCACACACTAAGCTACAAACATCATACATATGACGTTAAATCTCCCATAGTTCTGTCTTTCCCCTTCTCTCGCCTTCTCTATTTACTTCCCTCCTTTGTCTCTCATTCCCTTTATCTTTCTTCCCCCCCCCTCTCTCTTTTTCCCTCTTTCTCTCCCATCCTCCTCCCCCTTCCCCTTTCACTCTATCTTTCCCTCTAGATATCTATCTAGCTGTGTATGTGTTTGTTTTTCTTCTCACTCTTTCTCGCCCAGCCGCCCTCTCCTCTTCCCTTTGGTGATAAAAGAACGGCCTTTTGATTTTCCATATTAATGCATTGAATTCCATGACGAACCTGAGATTTGTTAGTGCAGTTGCTGTTACTGTGGAGTAAGTCTTTAAGAAATCCGCGCATGATTTTGATTTTCTTTTTGCTGGTCATTGTTTACAGTGAATGAAACATCCAAATCAAATATTTTCTTGCAATAGGGAATCGGTGATGCATGTACTAGTATCGATATCGTTTTAAATGTCTTCACACATTGGAATCGTTTAGCCAATTTTCAAGTATCGGTGCATCGGTATCGTCTAGAACAACTTTGTGTATCGATGCACATCACTGCTTAATCCACCTTACAAAGCGTGGATTCTCCATGGTTAACTTTAGGACGCTTGGCCTGTGCCAGGGGCAAGGGGGACACGTCCCTACTATCTTCTCCCGTGAAGGAGACTAAGCGGCCAGACACGTGAGGCATGGGTCGCGTGGGTGGGCCGCGGGGCTCGTTTGAATGTTCGATCATTCGGCCGTGGCACTGGACTCGGCTGCCACACTAGTTATTTTTGGACAAAGAAGAAAAGTGGGAATGTATTCACTAGCATGCCAGCACTTCACCCTGTAATTTGCCGGTATAAGTTTGAATCACCCTGTAGAGAAGGAACGCCCTTACCAAGTAAGTGTCACTGAACATTCCGCAACAAGCAACTTCAGCTTAAGAAGAAGGGGAGAACACTTTGGCTATTCAAAGCTCCTCGAAACTGAATTTTAGAAGCAAAATGTGTCGGAAATTCGATAAAAGCTGCACACAGATATCTATATTTCGCTTTAAATTACTATTTTGAGAGAATATTTCTCCCTCATAAAAATACAACAAATCGAGTAGTGGAAACGTTGAAACTGCACTCTTATAACGAGTCTATCTTTATTTATGTCTATATATATATACACGCACATATGTACAAACACACACATGTAAATATGTATACATATACGTACATTGCATATATATATATATATATATATATATATATATATATATATATAATATATATATATATGTACACACAACACACACACACACACACACACACACACACACACCACATTATATATTATATATATATATATATATATATATATATATATATATATATATATATATATATATATATATATATAATATATATATATATTTACATATATATATATATATATATATATATATATATATATATATATATATATATATATATAATCACCACCATCCCAAGTTGCACTTGGCCGGGCTGTGTTGCAGTATAGACTCCAATCATATAAGATAAACTATTGAGCCAGTGTATTCTATGGTTACAGTCATATAAGTGATGATGCTGAAGGTGTGACAGTCATTCCTGCCAAGATCTCTCCTCGTCTGTCTGTCACTGCGCGCAGCCATACCGTGGAGGAGGGTGGGAGGGGGAGGGTAGTTCAGCACGTATTGAACATGTGTAATGTGCTAAAACACAGTAATATAAGCTCCTGATTTACCAGTATTTACTCTATCAGTGTAGGTTAATATCCGTCCCACAAAATGAACATGTAACACGGCTGATAATTCTCTAATTACTCCATTTTGTTCGCTACCCCAGTCCTCAGTCCGCCCTCCTCTACCCTGCCACCCTCGACCGCCAAGAATCCCCCATCCCCTCCCCCACCATCCCCCTCCCCCACCTTCCTGCTCCCCCCGCAAACGCAGAAACCTGTCAACCAGAAACGACCCACCTGGACATGACCCGACGCTGTCTCGGTCATGTCCAGCAATGTACAGACTCGTTCAGTAAATATATTGTAACTGACTTCTTTCCAGAAAATTAGTGTCTGTCCTTTCATGTGCCTCTACAGATTGTTCGTGTTCGGCTTTGTTTTACGCAGTGACGCTCATAAGTTTATTATTTTCAGATCTATTCGCTTTCCATCTTCGAATATGTATTAAGTAAGGATCTCATATGCCGCTTTGTCTGACTGAGAAAAATAAAAGAAAATCATGCACTGGCAACACACCAAAGGCGGGAAACTGGAGCGTCTGATCCAGAGACGTGCCAGGCCTCCCCCCCCCCCCCGAGAGAGGAGGAGAGAAAGACAGCGAAAAATGATAATAATAATGATGATAATAATAACAGTTGTAATATCATCAGTAGTAGTAAAAGTACTCACAACATACATAAAGATCAACGCGTCCATAAGTGTTCTCACACCAGTTACCCTTCAATACTTTCAGTAAAAGTTTTGTTCATTTAAACTTTCATCTATAACATAACTATCGCTATGTTCACGTCAATGCACTACATTCACGAGGTATTGTGCATTGATATGAGGTTACCGTTGCTTATGTTGTAGATGAAATTTGAAATTAGCAAAATATTTAATAAACGTATTTTCTGGGAATTGGTCCGAGAACACCCTAGGACGGCTACGCACTCAAATGGTGGTCATGATAAAATAATAATAATAATAATAATAATAATAATAATAATAATAATAATAACAACAATAATAATAATGACATCACGATTGGAAATATAATATTGATAATAACCACCAAAATTATGATCAAAATAAAGCTAATGTTGATTATACAATGTTTGTTAGGATATAATGACACCAGTAAATGATCATTTGGCCAGAGCCGCTCTCCTGCACAGCCATCCGTGATAAGGTTATCAAAAGAAAAAGAAAAAGAAAAACGTGAATATCCTCTATTATGACTTAGCCCCCACCCCCTGCCCCTTCTCTCCTTCTCCTTCACTTTCCCTCTCCCTTCTCCTCCTCCTCTTCCCCCCTTTCTTTTCTTCGTCTCTTTTCCCCTCTGCTTCTAAGCGCATTATCCCTCTCCCACTCCTTTCTCTCATCGTCCTACCTCCGTCGTACAGCTATCCTACGTGATATTTATATGTGTGTGTGTGTGTGTGTGAGTGTGTGTGTGTGTGTATGCGTGTGTGTGTGCGTGTGTGTATGTGTCCGTGCGCACGCGCGTGTGTTGTGTGTGCGTGCGTGCGCGCGTGTGTGTGTGCGTGCATTTGCGCGCTTGTGTGTATGTGTGTGTTTGTGCTTGTACGAGTGGGTGTGTGTGTATATGCGTGTGTGTCTGTGTGTACGTGTGCGTGCGTGTGTTATATATTAATATATATAATAAAAACAGGCCTAATTACGGCAATGATAATATCTGATAAATAATGCCAGAAAATTCTGCTGCTTCAGGCTAACATCACAATGTCGTCAAAGACTGGTGTTTGGAAAATAAAAGATAGATGAAAGAAAAAAAGAAACCCGGACCAACTGCGTCCGTCGTCTCTGAAATTGCCTTACCGCGGTCGTCCTTCGCTCCCAGGTCCGCTCCTTTGGCGGCCAGGAGCTCAGCCACCGCGGCGTGACCATCGAAGGAAGCGGAGTGCAGGGGAGTCCATCCTGAAAAAGAGGGAAACTCCAGCTAATTTTCCCATTTCCGGAACACAAATTGTTGTGGAAAGAAAATGCAGAACGACGAATATGTAAAATGAATAAATAAAATAATTAAATAAATAAATAGCAAGAGATGAATATGTGAAAAAGGAACATGCGGAGAAGCAGACCGTGAAAAGAAACGGTTATAATCCACTGTGATAATAAAAGCTGTTATGGCACATTTAAAGTCTAGGGTATTATCTAGTACCCATAGCGAATTCAAAATTATGTCCGTGTAAAGTGAAACACAAGCATGGACATAACTACATTCAATATGTCTTTTATGTACATTGATCATACACTGATTATATTATAAAAAAAAATCCTGGTCCTATCATAAACACCCGATGACGTTTAGAATACAAACGAAACAAAATACTTGGCGGAGTGACCACAGGCAGAGACGTGCAAAACTCGAGCTGTACAATATGGCGGAGTGGCTGACTGAGGGCCAGGTGGTCGGAGGCAGCCACGAGTGAGCTCGAGTCAGCCACCGAAACATAGGTCGTGTCGGATTCCGAAACGTTTTAGAATTAGTTTAAGTATCATGCCTGGTCATCTAAACACTTTTCATTGATTAGATAATTAAGCGTTATGGGATAAATTCCAATAGGAGAAATATATATGTACATGACGAAATTATCAATTATTCATATTTTGAGTTAGTCCAACCAGAACGCTAACATTAAGACTATAAAGGCTATTTTACATTCGACTGGTAAAATTTCTGGGAAATGTGAACTCAAGATACATTTTTGGGGACAATCAGGCTAACCATCATTCTACAGGTAGTTTCGCACGCTGAACATGAATCTGTCGTCTGTCGAACCGATTAAGGTCAATGAGTGGAAACCATTTTTTTTTCTTTTTATTTGACATCCTCTGTCCAAATATATAACTTATTGAACAACATTTTGTATAGCAGGGCTTCACAGGTTTTCACAAGCAAGAATATTCTCAATGTTGAATTTAACAATTTGACTAATTGGTCTCCTAATTCAGCTGAAAGTAAGCTTCTGCTACAAACAGTGGTTCTAACAGTCAATCATTCTTGTTCCTCTTTTAGATCCTACTGCAGTGCGTCAGACTAATCAGGGTCTTCGAAAAGAGCTCGTTCCCGTGACGCGACACCCTTCACCCAACCCCACCCCATCCCTGCTACTCTCTACTTTACTTCGCCCTGTGTCAGCAAGCATTGCACTTCCAGGCATCAGTGCACAACTGGGACCCCACTTCCGATAAGAGCAACTATTGGTACTGCAACCTTCTGTGCAACTGATTGCACAATCTCTCTGCATCCCTGTGGAATTGGAGGCAACGCTGTCAGAATTAGTGAGCATTTACCATCCACGAGTCTCCATCTACATTCTGTAGGCGGGGACAGGGATGGAATCCGGTGTTGAGCTTCTCTCCAAGAGAAACTTTGGTAGTTTGCTCGTCCTATGTGGAATTTCGCATCATCAGTAGATGGAGGGAGGACCCTGTTGCATGACATTTGCTGGAAAAAATAACCCGGGCTTGATTACAGTCCTCCCATGGCACTGTGTAGATGTGACAAAGGTATTTTTAGAAGCTTCTGTGACCTGTTTTGAGGGCATCGGAAACTTGTCAAGATCTTTGGGTTCAAGGAAGCTATCCCTCTCTGTTTTCTTTGAGTGGCCCGAGAAAAGAGTAACCGTGTCGCATCTTGTGAAATGCAGCTAGTATCTCATAAGCATGATCGGCAAGTCGAAGTTCCCTCCTTGTGTCACGCACAGGAACATACTTCGGTTTCTTCTTTCTTTCATCCAAAACGTTTTAGCGACCAACAACACGATATCTATGTCACGATCTCCGACCACAGTGTTGCATCTGTTTGAAGGCAGTGTAGAATCAATCTAGGATATGCCTCCTCATGATTGCTTTCTAGCCATAACAGGGTCTGGACTCTGGATTTAAGTTTCAGAAGCAAAACCTCCACCAACAACAGCCACTTCCTGAGGGGCGCCGTGGCAGTGAGAGCATTTGACAGGGACTGAGTAAGCTGTCTTGTCTTCAGTTGATGCAAGAGAGTCCGGCCATTTGTTCGGGAGTGGTACGTCTCTGTCTTCGTTCAGACGCCAAACTGGCCCCGACTTCTGTGTATGTTTGACCCTCGCTCCAACTTTAATGGAAACATCTCTGAACCGATCGAAGGTAACATCAATGCGGCTGTTGGCCTGGCCTTGGTTGCCGGAAAATGAGCTTCACAATTTCATCTGAAGAGTCACCAGCGATTTCATCTCTCTGTTTTATGAAACTTAAAGAGGATCCCTTCATGTTCTTGAGATGCCTAAGGCACTATTTACGGCTACTTCAAGAACACCTTGATTGAAATAGAAATGAAATGTCAAGCACGTCTAGTGCACTGGAGTCACTGAAATGTCACCAGCTATAAATAGATGCAACACTGTCAAGTGAAGTGGGTGTAGAGAAAGGGCAAAAATACTAGTAGCTATGAAGCAATGTATTGTAGGCCTATCACTATAACAATCGTATTTTATACTCATTAACCTTTGACCTATATGCTTGATATGCAAATGAGGTCATCAACACATCTGTCTTATCCACCAAAG